ATTTTTTTATGAAACGCACCAACGATGGCTACTTTTCTTGTGGTTCTAGAAGAAAAAATCTCAAAATAATGTTTTATTTCAAAGTTCGAGTCGTAGTAAACGGCATTTCAACTGATCGAATGAAGTGGTTAATTCAGGCACAAGCTAATATCATCATCTGTCGAACTGTGCTGCGAGCATGGCTTCAAATTCGAACATTTTTTAATCGGGAGGAAATTTGCTCGAGGATTTGCTTGAATTTAAGGAAATGTAAAATTTGAAGACTTGTCGTCACAACTAAGTGATTTCCATTTCATTTGTACGGCAATCACGGCCCTCATTATGAGTATCACGTCCTTTTCACTGTATATTGTCGCTAGAGTTGTAAACCGATGGGTTTACAATGGTTAGAGTTTACAACCGATGGGTTCACGATGGGTTATTGGTGACAATCGATTTTATTCTAGTTCTGTATGTTAAACATAACGTCGCATCTCGTGCGCATTAAAGCGCATTATTCAACGAATACAGTGCACTAGATACGACATTATGTTGAACGTACAAAACGAGAGTGAAATCGATTGTCGCGAGTGGATTAATTCAGTTTCCAACTCTAGCATGGTGCTTCAAGAAATTTAGTATAAGTATTCGCAGAATTGGTCATGTTTGTAGTATAGTAAAACATAAATGGGCGTATTTCGGATTTTTTTTTAAACTTTATTAAAGAGATTTTTAGCCTTAGGCTAGTTCATCTCTAGCGTATTTCGGAGTGTAAGAAGAGTTTTTGAATAAATTGATTCATTCGAGTATGTGTCAAGGGTTTTCTTCAATTTTTTTTAAATAGTTCAAGAATAAGGATTTGGGTACGTTTTAATCTACATTAATTACATTAATTACAGAAAACAATTTTTTAATACCATTAATTACGTAATCAAATTGAAGTACGTGTTTTAAATACAGTAATTACACTGGCACTACTTTGATTACGCGAAATCGAATTTAATTACATGAAATACTTAATTTTCATTTTTAATTACTTAATTACATAGTTGAACACCTTGTACTTTAAATCCAACGCAGTCAAAAAGGCAATATTCCCTTCTTTCAATATATAAGGAAAATATATAATCAATGCTTTTCGTTAGGGATTCGGGGTAATGATCATTTGGGATAATAACGAGTGGAATAATGTTATAAATTTGTAATCGGTAGTTCAACCATAGAGGTAACTCTAAGACTAGAAGGTCTCGAAATAACGTGCTCAACTTTTTGGCTCAGCTTGGTTCAACGTTCCATGCACCGATTTTTTAATCCATCAACTTCTTCAACTCAGTTCGAACAATTCTTCGATAAGGTTTAACAGTTTCCGACTGGTTGAATTGGATTGCATAATAGACCCTTTGACTTATTAAATGATGAACGAAGTGCTCGAAAACTTGAAGGTTGTCATTTTATAAAGAGCTAACAAATGGTTTAGAATTGATAAATACATAGTTCCATAAAAGTAAACATAGTGTATTATCAATAGTAAAAGAAAAAAGAAAAGTGAAAATTACTAATTTCATCATCTTTTCTGGGGAATGGTACATTCTGGGGAATGGTACATTCTGGGGAATGGTACATTCTGGGAAATGGTACATTCTGGGGAATGGTACATTCTGGGGATTTTTTTCTGGGTAATGGTTCATTCTGGGGATTTTTTCTCTGGGAAATGGTGCATTCTGGGGAATGGTATTCTGGGGAATAGCATTCTGGGAAATGGCTTTCAGGGGAATGTCGTACAATCCCTCCCTTTCTCTCTCCCAGTGCCAAAAAGCACAGTGAAGGATACATTTATTCATACAAACAGGCCGCCATTACCGAGCATGGAAAGCTGGATAAGGCTTCTATAAAACAACATTCATAAAACTCTGGTCAAGATACCCAACAAACATTAAATGTTGAATAAGAGCTTTTTCAGGCAAAAATAAGTTTCTTCAGCTAAAAAATGCCCTTTTCAGCTGTTAATCAACTCAAATTGCTTGTTGGGTACCTTTGCATTACACGAGGAATTACATCCAGGGGTAAGTCACTCTGCCACATTGTGTTAACACTTACAAAAACACACTTCGACACACTTAAAACACCCACAAACACCATTACGCCCGAGATTACGCCGCATGATAAGGACATTTTTAATCAATTGTGGCACCACTGCAAATACTGTTCACATTCAATTGTTATTTTGTTCTTGAGGAAAAAAACGAGCAAAAAACCGTCGGACCATCCTGCCGGGAAAGAAAAACATTCTGGATCTGGATTGAAATCCAAAGAAAAGGAAGGAAGCACCTGAGCATAGGAAACAGTTCCATATAGCCACGAAACTGACATACCAGCCCACCACCAACGGTACACTACGCAGTCGTATCAACAATCAATACGAAACTAACGATTTTAAATTGGCTCAGTACTTGACTAGCCTATTGGTCCCAAGCAAACGATTAACGTACCCCATTCTAGTCGAAATTCTAGTACTACGCAATGTTTTTTTTTTGATTCGCTATGAAAGTTTGACAGATAAAATGAGGGGTTATTGGTTGTTCTTATGTTTCGAGGGGTGAATCGATTAGCTTGGGACCGAAGAGAGTACCAGCAACAATCAATACGAAACTAACGATTTTAAATTGGCTCACCACTTAACTAGCCTATTGGTCCCAAGCAAACGATTAACGTACCCAATTCTAGTCGAAATTCTACTACTACACAATGTTTGCTTTGATTCGCTATGAAAGTTTGACAGATAAAATGAGGGGATAGTGGATTTTCCTATGTTTCGAGGGGTGAATCGATTAGCTTGGGACCGAAGAGAGTACCAGAGCTGAGCCAAAAAGTTGAGCACGTTATTTCGGGACCTTCTAGTCTTAGAGTTACCTCTATGGTACCAGAGCTGAGAAAAAAGGGTTTTTTTTTCCTTTGGTTTGTTTTTTTCCGTCGATCTTGTTTTCCGTGCTGAGCACCAATGCTACCGACGTGCCAGGAAGGCAGCTCCCACACCTGGATCCTACCTATCGACCCATCAAACTCATGAACCGGGGACCAACAGCTGTCTTCCCATCCGAAGGAAGGCGTGATCAGAGATGTTATGCCTCAGAACATCCCGGCGGCACCGGCTGGGATTGAACCCAGGCCTGCTGGGGTGAGAGGTAATCACGCTTACCACTACACCACCGGCGCCGTTAATTAGATTTTAAGAAAAAAGGTTGAGCACGTTATTTCGGGACCTTCAGTCTTAGAGTTACCTCTACACTGATAAATTGAACTATTCCCATTTTGCTTGAAATTTAATCAATTTGACATTGAACTCATTTTAATCATATCGAATGATTAAAAATTAATCATCTCTTTCTAAAAAATAAGCATCTGATCCTGATGAATGTGGGCGTCTTAGTGGAATACCTGTATAATGAGAGAGAGAAGGATTAGTATTTTCCATTTAATTCCACTACTTTATTTGCTTATCCTTGACAGATACGCGTATTTCGTCTACAATGTGCAGACTTCTTCAGTGTCTTGTACTAATACTCGACTATTAGTACAAGACACTGAAGAAGTCTGCACATTGTAGACGAAATACGCGTATCTGTCAAGGATAAGCAAATAAAGTAGTGGAATTAAATGGAAAATACTAATCCTTCTCTCTCTCATTATTAAGCATCTGATATTAATCCCAGTTTAATCATGGTTGATTAGATTGTAGATTATCTATTTTTGAATATTTTTTTAGCCATTTTTGATTCCATTTAAAAAAAAATTGATTGAATTTTAATCTTTTTTTATTATACATCAGTATTGAAAACGAATAAAATTTAATACTGGAAAGATTATTTCAATTTTAATCATGCATGACTACTGCCGAAGTAATCATGGCTCGGACTCAATACACAGAAAAAAAAGTTGTTGAATATTACATCCAAACTGCTGCAACCAGGTCAATCCATCGGTTGTGTAATATAACGTTGTACGATGTACATCGATTTTGCGAACAATGTATCTGCTTTTTGCTATTACATCATTATTTCATACATCAGCTTGAATTACATTGATCGATATTACATTTTTTTTTTGCTGTATATAAGGTGAAGCGGGAAACTGCATACTTTTTAAGCTTTTTTGATTTAATTTATCTTTGAGTGTATGGTCGTATCACCATCTGCCTGATTAACACCAACCAGATCACTCACACACTCTAGATTTCTAGCTGTCAGTTCCACTGAGAAACATCTCTTGGATCACCTTATTATGTGGTCCAGTTCCAAAAAAAACATAATACATAAGGCCGTTCGCAATGCTGAGTTTCAAAATTGTATTAAACGACTCGACAATTCAATAATTTTAAATTGTCAAAAATAAAACTGTATCACGATCAGCGCAACGCACAGTTCTAAAATATGTTGTAATCATAAAGTTCCATAAACTTTACTGTTCTCTATGAAGTTCATAGGGCTTTTTTTGTGAAGCTCTTCGAAACATCTTTAAATACATCCAATGAAATTTGAAACAGCGAGTTCCATTCGTGTTTCAAACTCGCTCAGAATTAAAACAGAATAGTCGAGCAGCTGCCAATCTGGTGCAAAATAGTACTCGAATAATGAAACTGTAACTCAGCATTGCGATAGGAGCGTTTTTGTTCTAGTTTCAAATTGAAACAGCACTTATAAAATACAACAGCATTCCCTAATAAAAAATAACCATAAACGAACGATAACCCAAATCATTGAACTATTCCACAAATGGTTTGGATGATACCCAGAACACGTCGTTAAGCAAATTAACCATACAATTTTTATTAGGGTTGCGAACGGCCTAAGGTTAAAGCTTTATCACACAAACGTTTGACCCTTTGAAAAAAATCAGTTTCAAATTTTTCCACTGCTGCTGCCTCATCGGCCAAATTCAATTTACCAATCAGTCTCGCACTAACACATGCATGCATGCCAAGATGGGAGAATTATTATAACCCATCTTGGCTCCGTCAAAAAAGCACTTTTTCCGCAAAGTCAGATTTTCTTACCGCAACATAAACACAGTGTAGATTTTTGTGAAAAACTGTTCGAGAATCATGTTATTTGATCTATAAAAATCAAGTAATTGTGTTCTTAAGTGAAGCCGAGCTCAGTAGTACCGAAATAATAGCATCACGAACTGAATTAGTGGCCAAAATTAGTAACATATCGTGAAGGGTGTGTGTACGCTTTGTTGCTGTGTATAAACAACAATGGCCGAGACTTCGAACCAGCAACCATCACAGCTATCTTCTCCAGTAATTCCGGTTAAAACTATCAAGTCGGAGGGAAAGGTGAACACCGGCACGGAAAATCAAGCTGGTTTCATCTGTGGAGTTGTGGAGGGTTTTTACGGTCGGCCATGGACGACCGAGCAACGAAAGGATCTTTTCCGGAAGTTGAAGCAATGGGGAATGGATTCTTACATCTATGCACCGAAGGACGATTACAAACATCGAGCTTACTGGAGGGAGTTGTACACGGTTGAAGAAGCGGACCACCTAACGGGCTTAATTACTGCTGCTCACGAGCAAAACATCAACTTTTACTATGCTCTCTCGCCTGGGTTGGATATAACGTACAGCAGCAGCAAGGAGGTGGCAACCCTCAAAAGGAAGCTGGATCAGGTATCGCAGTTTGGTTGCAAAGCTTTTGCTTTGTTGTTTGATGATATCGAACCGGAAATGAGCAAACCGGATAAGGAAGTATTTCAGAGCTTTGCTTACGCTCAGGTTTCGGTCACTAATGAAATCTACAATCACCTGAACTGTCCACGTTTCCTGTTCTGTCCTACTCAGTACTGCAGCTCACGAGCTGTTCCAACTGTAAAGCAATCCGAATATCTCAATACACTGGGATCGAAGCTCATTCAAAATATCGACATCATGTGGACGGGACAGAAGGTTATATCGAAATTGCTGACCGTGGAATGTATCCAGGAGATTACGGAAGTTATTAAGCGGCCACCCGTTATCTGGGATAATCTGCATGCTAACGATTACGATCAGAAACGTGTCTTCTTGGGACCATACTCGGGTCGATCGCCGGAGTTGATTCCCTTGCTACGTGGAGTCGTAACCAATCCAAACTGTGAATTCCATGCCAATGCCATCGCCATCCAAACGCTTGCCTTCTGGAGCAAGTGCAATGCGGATACTAAGATCAGCTCGTCGATTTCGTCCGATATCAAGCTGGAGACGGAAAACGAGGATGGGATCTGCCAGGAAGATGCCCCGGCTTTCCTATCGGAGCATGTCTATCACCCGAGGTTGGCGTTGAAAAATGCCATTGCCAATTGGCTGCCGGAGTTCTATCAGGAGAAGGAAGCGTGGGGACCGATTAGTAAGCCGCAACCTGCACTTACAAGTAACATATCCGTACAATGTGGTATTGTTTCGAGTTTAATGTAACTGAGAATTCCTGGTCTCTTTCTAGTGGTAATGCCGATCATCCCGATCATTCCTTCCGTTAACACCTGCATGACGTTGACTTCGACCAACACGACAACCACCACCGCTAGTTCTTTAGCTGTTCCGGAAGTGAACACTACCCAGCTGCAGCTGTTCGCCGATATTTGCAGCACGGTGACGAGTGCACCGGAAAATATTCCTGCTCCCATCATGAACTCCCTGGTATCGGCCACCAAGGTCGTTACGAATGATTCTCTGCCAAATCCGGCAGCTGCTGCAGTCACAAACATGTGCATCCCGTCGACAATTCCAATTTCTAGTTTTCCAGTTCCAATTATGAGTATCAAGCCTGCCGAGAGTGTATACGTTGCTCCTGCTGCTGTTGCAGGGGACGGGTTGACCACCAACAAGAAGTCTAGTAATGGTGAAATTGATACAGATGTTGCTGAAAACAAAGGAATGCCATTGGAAGAGGATGCGGTTATTGAGAACGATCTCGAGCAGAAAAAGCTGGACGAATCGAGTGAAAAGCGGAAGTCCTCCTCGTCAGACGTTCCGCTGGTGGAGGACGAGGAGCTTAAGACTAAGGAAGAGATAGAAGCAGACGATGGTGAAGAGAAGAGCGATTCGGAGGTCAAGATGTTGGATCTGGAGGAGAATGAGGTGAAGATGGTGGATGCGAGTGAGGCAGAAGAGAAAATGGCCGATGGTGACGAGGTGGTGGTAAACCAGATCAAGATCAACGTTGAAGACGAGGACGTTAAGGTAGACGAAGTATTCAGCAATAGTCCCTGTGGAGGAGCGGGTGGGACTTGCGCGGAACCGATGGAATGTGGAAGTAACTTGACTTCTCCTAAACACTTGATGAAGACGCATTCTGACGATGTGATGATGTCGGAAACTACTTCGGTAAGTGACAGTGGTAGTTGGTTCGAAAGACAGCTTTAACTAGGCACATGAGTTTCTCTTTACAGACATGTTCCGGAAGCATGCAGATTGAAAGTTCAGACACATCTTTGACTTCTAACGCTGAAATGATCGAGCTCAAGTAAGTTTGTGAATTTGGGTACTAAAGCAGAGGAAGAGAGTAGATGAACTTTGTAGACTTTTCAGAAACGCCGCCGACAAAGACATCGCAGTCACTGATATTATGCTGCTCTGTGATCTTTTCTATCTACCCTTCGAGCACGGCAACAAAGCCCTCCAGCTGCTAGCCGAATTCCATTGGTTGAAAACGAACGCCGTTGTCCTTTGCAAGCACCGCAATCGTAAGACCAGTTCATCTAGTTGCTCCAATCAATCCAGCTGTGGAAACCCCGAGGACTGCAATCATCTCAACGGTACTGTTCCTGGTACCACCACGGTTACGACCGCTCAATCGAATGAGCAGCTCATAGATAGCTGCAATAAGAGTGAGGTACAAGAGTGGATTCGCCGATCGGAGTCGTTTGAAAACCTCTGCCAGAACATCTTCCAGTTGGCACGTAAAATTGCCCGCTGTGCCAACAAGGAGCTGTGCTATGATCTGTTTTCATACGTGTGGGACATCGTCGCTGTACTGTCGCTGTTGAGCGCCTTTGTAAAGTGGCTAGCTTTGGGTCATTTTCCTCCCACCATCAACTCACATACACAAGGAGGATACACCTGTAAGTATGGGATACGAGGGTGTAGTTGCTACACAACATTGATTGAATCTCCTACAGGGTTCAGCAAAGGGTGGAAGGAGACATTCATGTCAGGTGACCAGGAACCATGGGTCTTTCGCGGTGGCTTGGTAGCAGACCTGCAGCGTCTCATTCCGCTGGACGCCGGTAATGACCTGTTTATATACAAACTTCCCGAAACGTCCACCATCAATATGTACACGTTCCGCCCTTACTGTTACTCCGATGAGACAGCTCTGTACAGTGTGTGTTATCGCACCATGCAAGATGCTGAAGACTCCATGAAAAGATTGCCGGATAATCTACGTAATGTGCTGGCGGATCGCTATCTAGGACCATTTCTAACGCTTGCACCACAGTATTGTATGGTAATCGAAGATAACAGTGGTGAGATCGTTGGTTATGCTTGCGCCACGATCGATACAAAGAACTTTATTCGCAATCTCGAGCAATGCTGGATTCCGGAGATGTGTCTCAAGTATCCCCTCTCCCTCCTAAACGAAGTAGATCCTGCGGAAAACGAGTCCCTGAAGCAACCTACCAACTCTCTGCCACAAGCGATATGCGACAGTATTATGTATTTCCATAACTTTAGTAATGAATACCCAGCCAATGTTAGCAACTCGCATCCATCGGTGATGTGCTGTCGCATTCTGAAACCGCATCTCACCGAAGACGAAACAATATCCAAACGGCTCATAACAGTGTTACTGGCTGCACTGCGTACAAATGGATCCTCCTTTGGAGTTCATGTGTGCGTCGCCAAGACCGACCACTTTATGTACCAACTCTACGCCAAGCTAGGTTTTGTCGAAATCTACCGGGACGAATTCGAAGCAAATCTGTACATGGGACGCAACTTTTGATAGACGATGCGATTCCCGTTCCGCTTCCGGTAAGTACAGAGCCAGCTTTTCTTCCCTCTTTCTGCGACTCAGCTGACGTGAATTGCTTGGCGGTAGGCTGGAAACTATGTTGTAGGTTATATGCTTCTTCAGATATTCAAGAAAAAAAGTGATTTACCGAGGTTTGTCGAAATAGTAGGTTTGCGGTATGATTGCATGACTTTGCGGTTAAGCGTAATAAACGAAGCCGAATGTTCAGTTATATCTCGGAAGCCGGGCGCGAAATGTTTTAGCGAACATATCACAATTCCTTTTCGATGGTTCGAGATAATTGCACATCCTGATTGCTCTCAAGCAATGACTTTTAGTTTTACGACAATAGGATAGAATTTAGAGATGAGGCTCTTGTATACCCTCAGAGTACCAAGCCTGCAAACGTCGTGTCGATACGTAGTTTGCAGGCTTGGTACTCTGCCTGTTATTTAATAAGATCATCATCAAAGAAATTTCCATTTTCCTAGACCCCTTGTCGACAACCGCTCGTATTTTTTTTTATTGGGTGATCTCGAGTGAAATGCAGCTGGCGAAGGAGAGAAATAAGCCACCACGACTGGTGATATTCGACATCTCACGACGCCTGAGTAGAGCAAAGATGCCTGTTTAAGACGCGACTGGTCAGTTGCTTACTGACCCCACTGCCCAGCTGAAACGTTGGGCTTGAGCACTTCGAAAAACTTCTTGAAGTTTCGACGACAAATTCAAAATCTTGGAATGATCCGCCAAGGGTACGGCGCATCACTCGCTTCAGTTTCGAGGCTTCATCATCACAGAATCAGCTATCCGAAGCATAAAATCCAGCAAGGCTCCCACATTCCGTCGATCACATACAGTATATCTCAAATTGAGCGTACACCTGAATGGGCAATTTTTTGAAAGACTGCGAGTAGATAGCTGTTTGAAATCTTGGCTAGTGGTTGAACAACTATTTATTGATTTATCAGTATAGCTTTGGACTTTATTGGCAGAGTAGGTGTATGAAGTTTGAATAATTTCAGTAAAACGGTCGATTTTCAGCTTTTTTCATAGTGGGCGGATTTTAGTAAAATTAGAGGCATTTTAAAGATCTTAGTTATGACTATAAATTAGCAAAATTTCAATATGTTTGACTCATTGTATTTCAAGAAAATGTGTTTTTTTAGAAAATCTAGTTTTTTTCTAAAATAGCTCCAACTCTTACACACTCATCTAAATAAGTCCAATACTATACCGATAACCAATAAATGGTTGATGAGCCAGTAGCCAAAAATTTAGAAATCTATCTTTTTAAGTTGTACAGCTGTTTTTTTTTTAATGTACGGACAGCTGTACCATAGAGGTAACTCTAAGACTAGAAGGTCCCGAAATAACCTAAGAGAAGAGGTGACAATACGGGGGCGAAAATGAACCACTTTTCTGTCAAACGTGAACCAGCTCCTGATTGGCCGATTTCATGTGCGTAAGATAGAGATAGAGCTAGATAAAGATAGAGATAGAGATAGAAATAAAAGAGGAAGAAGCCAATTGTCACCTCTTCCTCTTAGGAAATAACGTGCTCAACTTTTTGGCTCAGCTCTGGTACTCTCTTCGGTCCCAAGCTAATCGATTCACCCCTCGAAACATAGGAAAATCCACTATCCCCTCATTTTATCTGTCAAACTGTCATACCGAATCAAAGCAAACATTGTGTAGTAGGAGAATTTCGACTAGAATTGGGTACGTTAATCGTTTGCTTGGGACCAATAGGCTAGTCAAGTAGTGAGCCAATTTAAAATCGTTAGTTTCGTATTGATTGTTGGCTGTACGCTCAATTTTGAGATACACTGTATCAACAAAGATGCTCAAAGCTGACCCCATGATATCCGCACAAATGTTCCATCAATTATTCAGTAATATCTGGAACCATATAGGTAACTCTAAGACTAGTAGGTCCCGAAGAAACGTGCTCAACTTTTTGGCTCAGCTCTGGTACTATCTTTGGTCCCAAGCTAATCGATTCACCCCTCGAAACATAAGAAAATCAACTAACCCCTCATTTTATCTGTTAAACTTTCATAGCGAATCAAAACAAACATTGTGTAGTACTAGAATTTGACTAGAATGGGGTCTGTTAATCGATTTGCTTGGGACCAATAGACTAGTCAAGTAGTGAGCCAATTTAAAATCGTTAGTTTCCATCGTTGCTATAACCATAGAGGTAACTCTAAGACTAGAAGGTCCCGAAATAATGTGCTCAACTTTTTGGCTCAGCTCTGGTACTCTCTTCGGTCCCAAGCTAATCGATTCACCCCTCGAAACATACACTCAAAAAATTTCACACGTTTGATCGAAGTGTTTAAACACTTGATTTTTTAAATGCAGAATCACATTTACTTTAAGTGTATTTCACCTTGGTTCAATGTGTTATACACGTTAATTTATAGTGTTTCAAACTTTGAAATGTTGAATTTTTTTCACTATCAATTCAAGTGTATTGCACATTGAATCACGCTACTGTTCAAAACAGATGGATTTAAAGTGTTTTGCATTTCAATACGATGTGATTTGCTTGCTCAGAAAGGTAAATATTGAAAACAAGAGTTGTAACTTTATCCTATCAAATCGCTTCATATATGAGAACAACCGTGGCACAGTGAGATCGAACGAAGACTCTGGCAGCAGCACACCCCAACAGTTCATGATCGAATCCAAAATCAGACCCATTCAAAAGATATGTGAAAGCTCTGGCCTCTGGCAGTTTTGTTTATATATTTGTCGATTCATTTTTAGAGTCGGTAAAGTAGAAGTCGATAAAGTAGAATATTGTAGAATATTGAACTATGGTGTGCAAAGCTATTGATATCACCATATGAGGCACATAGAATTCAAGTGTGTCACAATTCAAATCCATAGTCTTCAGGCATGGTTCATAGCATAAGATTCACACATGAAATGGATGTGTTCACAATAAGCGCAAAATTAAGTGTGAGACACATGATGATGGCGTATGGAATTTTTTGAGTGTAGGAAAAACCACAAACGAAGTGACAGACGGCTAACTGGCGAAGAAATCCATTTAAATAATGTGGTTCACTGTAATAGAATTTTCTTGGAAGCTTGTGCCATTATCCACCAGATGGGTTAGTTTTTTTGTTTTGATTTGAACAAAGTTGATTTTGTGTACAATGATTCTTTGACAGTGTGCAAAGAGTGCGTATCATTTTGTCATTTTTTTATGCATTTCGGTTTTGAGTAGAGTGAAAGAGATAGAACCAAAACATTCTAGTACATTCGGTTAAAATGCTAGTTCAATCTAGTAGTAGTGTTGCCATGTGGTACAATCCAGTAGTAGTGGTGTTGCCATGTGGTACACTGAAAAATTGCAATAGCAGGTTAGTCACCAAAGTTTTCGAGCCGCTCCGTCTGTCACTTCGTTTGTGGGAAAAACCAATAACCCCTCATTTTACCTGTCAAACTTTCATAGCGAATCAAAACAAACATTGCGTAGTACTAGAATTTCGACTAGAATGGGATACGTTAATCGTTTGCTTGGGACCAATAGGCTAGTCAAGTAGTGAGCCAATTTAAAATCGTTAGTTTCCACTGGTTGCTATAACTGTCCAGGAGCTGGATGGTTCCTACGTGGAAAGATGAACGCTCGTGATCAGGACAAAAGAAATCACTATGGGTTGGAATCCATGCAATGTCCGGTAGGTTAAAATCGCCAAGAACAATAACTTTGTCGGAAGGGCCTGCTTTGTCTGAAGCGACCAAGACGGATCGACAATGTGCATCAATAAGCTCCAAGTCACGGGTTCGATCTGGAGGGATGTACACTGCACAGAGAAGCAATTGACGATCACCAAGTTGAATAGCCACCCACATTTGTTCAACATTGTTCCAGGAATTGTCCTTGATAACTTTTGCTTTCAGCTTGGATTTAACTGCGATAAGGACGCCTGCCTTAGTAGTTTTAATACTATTATTCGTGTTTCGATCGCAGCGAAATATTTCGTAGCCAGTACCAAAGACATAGTTTGAATTGGTTCGATAATTGAGCCATGTTTCGGTCAAAACTATAATGTCGCAACAGTGATCCACGACGGCCAGATGATAATCTTCCACGAAGCCGTTCATAGTGTTAGTCCGAGGTACACAACCTCTTTGGACCATTCCACCACTGGTTGTAAAATAAGTGTAAGTAAATCTAATCTCCTGTAGGAGTAGGCACTCCACTGCTTATTCGTTGATGAGTCCTAGGTAGTAAGTTGAAAAGCCATGTGTGTCCATTTCCTTGATCCCTGTTGAGTAAAGTCGAATTCCGTTGTTTGTTGATCTCGAGGCTCTCTTCAACATCCATTTTCCATGGTATAGATACGGTTCGTAAAATCGTGATGTCCTCCGTCGATACTTGGTGTTCCTCTGTGAATATGTGTTCTGTAACCTTTAATTTGAAAGCCTTTTTCCTCTTGTTTTTTGGCCTTATTAACCCGCATAAACGCGGACCATAAATTGACCTTACCTAAAATGGTTAAAAATTGTTTATAATCCCTGCTAAACTTTAACTGAAATTGTTATGGAACTTTACATGAACGTTTAATGATAAAGTTTCAACCTTATGTATTATGGTTTTTTGGAACTGGACCTTACAAATAATGGGTTGTTAAGAACCATTACCATTCCAAATTCTTGTTTTCTCCATACATTTTCAGAAAGAGAACTATATAAGAACGTTTTTACTTATGATTTGAGAACATTAATGGTAATGGTTATGGTAGTCAGTAAGGTCCATCTATGGTTTTGTATTATCGCTCAACTTTACGTGGAATATATCGTGAATTGGTAATCAGTAAATTACAGGCAACCAATTCTCGATATATTCCACATAAAGTTGATCGATGTTACAAAACCATTCGTGGACCTTACTGACTACCATAACCATTACCATTAAAGTTCTCAAACCATAAGTTAAAAGGTTCTAATATAGTTCTCTTTCCGAAAATGTATGGAGAAAACAAGAATTTGGAACGGTAATGGTTCTTAACAACCCATTATTTGTAAGGTCCAGTTCCAAAAACCATAATACATAAGGTTGAAACTTTATCATTAAACGTTCATGTAAAGTTCCATAACCATTTCAGTTAAAGTTTAGCAGGGATTATAAACAATTTTTAACCATTTTAGGTAAGGTCAATTTATGGTTTGCGTTTATGCGGGAACCTTCGCTATATGTTCTTTAAATCTAGTTGCTAAAGTT